GCCAGCCATGCCAGCCTGCAAGCCTCCAAGCCAGGCAGATTGGTGGTTGAGGGGTCGCTCCGGCGGGAAGGAACATGGCAACCAGCCCAGGGAGCCTCCCCTCGCTAAAGAGGTGCCTTCCCTACCACCCCACCATTGGCACCGGTAGGTAGGTACTTGTATTTGTACGGTCATGTTCGAACGGAAGGAAGTACATTCACCTGCACCTGCATCTTTCCTGCCTTCCTGCGAAGCGGCCCTCGGCTGTGACTTCCCTGGAAAACGCAGGCAGCTCCAGGTCCTCAGAAAAACACACTGACAACGTAAAATGCATTTGCTTCGACCGCCAATGTCGCCCTAATGCATACTCTCGCCTTTCGTCTGATCCACAGGAGCCATGGTTCAACTTCACCGCCTTTCAGACACTCTGCCAGAGCCTCCACGTTGCCTCCCGGACCCAACAGTACTGCCAGCGGTGGCATGACTTGATTCGCCCGTCTGTCGAGACATTCCCTTCGTGGGCATATTCGTCGATACTTTCAATGTCTGAACACTTGGTTGTCTGAACGAGGAGGACGACGATGACCATCTCGCCTCCATTCCCAAGCTTTGTCGATCCGAGCTCGTCAATGGCAGGCCCCGAGTCTCAAGAGACATCGGCAACCCGGGCCTGCTGCTCCCATTCCAGAGGACTTGCATCTTGGCGGTGTCTTCAAGACATTGCCAGCCCAAGCCTGACCTGCCGTGCCGTCCCCGCTGCACGAGATATCGCCGCTCCCGTACAGCTGTGCTACCTATCTGCCGTGTCAGGACAGCGCTTGCTGACGTCGTGTATCTGGGCAGGTAGGGCAATCTGCTCAAGTCAATTGGCTCTGTTTCTAGCAGTGCAACAGCCACGACAGTGGACGGGTCATCCGTCACCCAAGTGTCCAACCCGCGTCGCATTAACCACCGCCGCACCACGCGCAGCTCGTCCTCGCTGTCAGTGTCTGCGCATGTGAAGACGGCCCTTGCTTGCTTAAGGCGAGATCCAGATCTCCAGGCGCTGCCGTCGCTACTGTAGCGTTGTCGAAAGCGAGTCAGATCGGCGCGGCGCTTGTCAGTCGGTACTAGCTCACGCCGGCCTCGATGGTGTTCATTTCCAGGGCCTGGCTTGTTCGCACTCACTGCCATTAGTCGTCCTGCCGATTCTCTCCGAACAACCTGACGTCAGGAGATTTCAGAGCAATGTGGCCTGCCTCTGGGGTGAGGCTCGATATGTGTATGGCGGAGAAGGCCTTCTGCGCCGCGCCGCATCGGACATGGGCTAAAGCGTTGGATTCCATCGCGTTGGCAGCATTCAGGATCATTGGGGAAAAGATCGATACTGCCTCGAAGTCGCGGTACAGGATGACGAGTACGTACCTGGGTTCCCCACGCTCCCAGTCGAAGAGGGGGGAGAGGAGCACACAGGGGTTGGAGGGGAAAAGACAAGGCGGGTACGTATCTCGCTGCACGCAACGCCAGTGGCTCACGCTCTGTCTCAACCCCACGAACCAGCGGAATCAGGACAGACACGACAGACTCGAGCCCTTCCATTGGACAGAGAGCCCACCCGTCTTCCCAGAAACACAGCAGCCAATCGGGAGAGGAACATACGGCTGACACGATGGACCAATCAGGGGTGCCCCGCTGGGGAAAGGTGAATCTTGAATTGACGCCCGCCCTTCGCCAACATTCAACGACGGCCAAGTTGTCAGATGCCAAAGTCTGCACTGAACTGCATTCTCGATGAATTTTCACACCCGAATTGGAAAACGGCAGAAGGCGACGTTAGGCAAGAGAAGGAGAAGGGGCGAATGCTTTCCACTCGGGCGAAACCGCGAGACACTGGATGAAACGGCCTTCGGCTCGAGTCGATTTGAACGCACCAAGAAGAACAAGACCAAAAGACAGCAGAGACCCTGAAACACTGTGGGACGCTGTCTTCTGGAAGCTTGCGGCATTCCTGGGGTCCAGTTTTGCCTACCTCGCTTCTACAGCGTGGTGATCGTTCAGTCTCCTTATTTTCGACCCTTTCCTGCCTCTCGAAATTTTCTGTTGGGGGTTCGAATTTTGTTGAGATGGTTGCTGGCCAGGGCCGGCCTTGTCACCACCAGGGCCTCACAGGTACGTACCTCTCTCTCCCCCCACTCCGAACATCTGAAGGACGAATACCTGGTCTGTGCCAACCGGATCCCACTTGCGCTGCCCACCAAGGATATGTTCTTCGGGAAGCTCAGGACAGGCCATTCGTCTTCTCATCACGGTTTTTTTTTTTTTTTCTTCCCACACCAAAACCCATCAGAGCTCCATAGATACGACTTTTGAACAATGCAGTCAGTTCATCGTAGGGTTCTTCGGCATTCGTACTGCTGACCCAGAAGCTGAGACCACCACATCGACGGCCAATCCCAACGCACTCAATTCCACGAACAGGGGACGGGGAGGCCAGCGAAGAACACAGGCCAGCTTTACGAAGGCCCTGCGCTTGGCCCCCCAGCTTGCAACTTTCACATGGGAATTCGTTGACCTTGACTCCGTTGTCCCAGCCTGGGCAAACATCCGCAATTTGAGCGGCACAAGAGGCGCCTAGGGCGACTACGCCCTCAGGATTTTGGGATCCCCGATGCCACGACCGATGAGGGCAGCAGACCTGAAATCGCTGCTGCCCTCCTCTTCAATGATAATCACGCACATCTAGCCCACTTGGACCAATGTGGTTCGCTGATGCTTCCTGCTGTTCCCGAGGCCGGGCCCCTCTCACCCACGAGAGGCTCACTTACATGTGATTTAGGGCCTCTGCTGGAGGGCAATGTTAGTGACAGAGACACGGAACACACTACCAAACCGCCTCGCCTCACGGTTGGTTACAACACTACCGGTCGTCCCCTGCTAGCACTTGGCTTCATGGTCTTCTCCACGAAATCAGGGAAGGGGAACATTGGCATGCCGCTGATACGTCCCCGTCTCAGCAAGTCGCCTATGGTTGACGCATCAGATAGTCGATTGTTGATCGCTCGCTCGCTCTGGCAGGTTTTACCAGCTTGTGACCTGCGCCGCTCTGCACGATTGGAGGCAGAACTTGCGAGACTGCATGGCAAGCACATGCTGAGGCTTCGCACAGTAAGATGTTGCTGAGGGACGCGTCGACAAGACACCAGCTACCATCAGCCAGCCATGCTTGAAGTTCCTGCGGCTAGACCAGCTTAAAGCTTCCAGCCGACAACACCTGGCTGCTGTCACTGAGGCTGGAAACTTTATCTCACTACATCCAGATGGTCAGGTCAGCCTCGGACTGAACCAGCTGTCGTGCCTGTGACTACCAGCATTGGGCCTCAATGGCTCTACTCATTAGCCGTCTTTTGTTCGCCACGACCAGGGCTTTGCAGGAAGCAGCTCGGTCCTGGCACCGAACGAATACCGAGCAAATAAACGCCGCTATGGTTTTCAGGCGTTAGTTGGTTTTCGTCCAATGTGTGCGTCTTCAGGCGTGCCCCTATTTATTGACCGCCTGGCTTGCTGCACTCCAGCGGCAGCCACAAGACGGGACGACGAAGCGTTGACCGCCTCGCATGCATGAAAAGGCTGACCACCTCGCATCCTTCCATTCATCGATTGTGCGTCTCGAAGGTTTAATAGACGCCGTAGCTCTCGTGAGTAGGCAGACGAGACTCGGTGTCTCATCGGTGATTGACCTCGGTGTATGTGTCGTTCTCAACAGAGAACGGAGACATTCTCATACTGTTGACTATGTTAATTCGCCAACGGCATCAAACAGAATCATACCCAACCTGTGTGGAGAATGAAACGATTTTGCTGGGCTAAAAGGCCCCATCCCCAAATTGATACCTTCTTCAATGTCCGTCAACCATGCCTTGCTGTGTCGTGGGACCTCGTTCCCCGCCTCGTTCTCTTGCCCAAATCTATGAGAAATGAAAGACTGTCTTCTTTCTGCATTTGGAAGTAACATGTCGTTATAGAGGTCACAAACCATTTAGATGAACTTATCGTCCATTGAGATGATGTGACTTGATACCGTGATCCCAAGGTCACGCTGACAGCATCAGCAGCAACGCCCATGTCTCGCAATTGAAAACATGATGATTTGACGAGGGGCACCATCAAATAGCAGCCGTGGAGGTTAGTCGAATAACGGGCTTGCCCGGTCCGTGATCGCTTGTGTGTGACTAATTCTGTTTCTTACGTGCTCTACTTCAACCCTCCTAAGGACCACGGCTGGTCACTTTGACGAGAGCTTTCTCGACGCAAGCACCATATACGACGAAGAGGTCTACGCCTCACCCCTCGCTGTAGGAAGATATCAGGTTTCATCCAATGGACCGGAACAGCTCACAGCAAATTCACCAAAGAATCAGCAATCCTTTCTCTTTCCCCCACTACAAGTACTTGATGGCTCGAAGCTGCTGCCTGCTTGCCTGCATTGCCATTCCGTGGCCGCCGGAGCAGACGACCGCGGCCGCTGCGGGAAGAGAGACATCATGTCTCAGCAACCCCGCCCCTCCAGACAGCCCCGAGGCAAGGGAAGACTAAGTTCGGTTGATGATCCGAGTCATCCAAAACCGGTGCGATGATCTCTGCCCTGCACTGAAGAAGTTGCATGTCACCACCATGTTTGCCTTCCTCAACTGCATGAAAGTTTCAGTGTGGTGATCAGCCGAACGGTGAGGCCGTGGCGAAGTGCGATAAGAGAAGTAGGCAAACCGGTGGTCTAGAGCTGGTCGTCACGATACATACCAGTAAGTGTGGTAGTCGTCGTGAGAGAAGAGTGTCACATCGTTGAGGGTGTCTCGTGTGAAAGAATAGGCCAAGATGCTGGACTTGTCATGTCGTATTATCTAGAATGCCTACACAAATCGTATCCCATCGCCAATGGGTTTTTTTTTTCATGAACCGTCCTTCCCATCCATCCCCAACGCCATGTCCGATGCTGTCCAAAACCATAAAAATGCTACCGCACAAACGGAGAAGGGGGTATCAAATCACGCAAACCCAAGCTCCTCCCTTCCGTCGTCCACCAACCGTCCCCATTCCAGCAACAACCGAAACATGTAAATCCTCATATCCTCTTTGCGCAACGCCTGCGCAGCCCAGACCCTGCCCTCCTCCGCAATCTGCGCCGCCCGGATCTTGCCCTCGTAGTCGGCCCCGAAAAACCACAGCAGCCCCTTCAGCTCGTGGAGCCGCACGTCCACGGGCACGTAGTGGCGCCACGCGTGCACCCGCTCCGCGAGCCAGGTGCGGAAGACGCCGCTCCGGTAGACGAGGCTCTTGCTCCGCAGAAACGGTATGAACCTCCCGCTGAATCCCGCACCGTCGAGGTCCATGAGGTGGGCGTATTTCCAGTGCTCCTGGAACTTGACCTTGTTCTTCGTCGGCTCGTCGTGGCCGCCCCAGAAGGTGTCCCTCTCGGCGTCGCAGTCGCCTTCGTGGCACTTCCTCCAGTCCCCAACAAAGCCGACGTCGAAACGTGGCCCGGCGTCTGATCTCACGATCTCTCCCTCAACGGCGGTAGCGGACGACGCGGACGACATCGTCCATGCGTTCTTCCACATGTTTGCAGCCGCGACGAACCTCGCTCTCAGGAAGCTCTGCCACGAACCCCTGGCAGCGTAGCCGTCCGTGGCACTCCCCCTCCAAAACATGACATTCTCCTTGCTCTCAAACTCCACGTCCGACTCCTCGTCGTATCCCGCCTTGTCGTCAAAGTTCCACGGCGAGGGTATCAGAATGTCCGCGAACCCGGACGTCTTGCTCTGGCTGAATACCGGAAACGGCGTCTTGGTGAATATCGCCGCGGCGGGCGACAGCAGGAATCCGTGGAGGTAGGCCAGGTCGGGCTGGTGGCAGAGGTCGGTGGCCGAGGTCCAGTTGGACACCACGGGGTAGTTCTCCAGCCCGTTTTCGTATACGCGAACGGCGTGCGGGAGGAGGCAGTCGCGGCAGGATTCGCGGCGGGACCACCAGCGGGTGTTGCGCGCGGGCGAGTCTGGGGGACAGGCCGGGGCGACAAAGTCGTAGTAGATCTCGTCGCGGATGTGGTCTGCAAAGTAAGGTGACTTGACCTTGGGGCCGAGAACGGTGTCGTTGTTGGGCCAGAGCTGTCTCGAGGTGTCGAACGGCTTTAGCGCTGACTTGCTGAGCAATCTGGCTCTCGAGTCAAGGCCGACGTTTTGTAGGGCCTGGGTGTCTTCGAACGGGATGGCGACGCGGCACTCGTCGTTGAGATTGATTGCAAAGTCCATGTCGGGGAGATACTGTGCAAACGGCTCAATCATTTCCTGCATCGACTCCATCATCCACATGTGTGATCCAGGAGTGCCAGGGGAGATGCCTATCCTGCCTCCGCGGATGCGAAGACCTCCCATGCCGAGCCACGGCAGCTCCAAAACATGGCTCGTCCTCTGTCTGAGAACTTCTGGCTGTACTCCCCAGAACGGCAACAGGTCGTCGTTAATTTGAGTAAAGTCGTCGATGATGGGGGACCCGTTTCCCATGGCGTACTCGAACCATTTGTCAAAGTTTGGCGGAGGCGGCATGCCGTAGCGAACGCGGTAGTTTCGGACTGCTTCATCCAACGTTCTGCTCTGATTTGCCTGTACCGTCCAATTGTCCGACTTGGCGTGTTCAACAGACAACAGATCCGGGAGAGAAAGGGTGTCGATGGAGGCAAAGTCGGGGTAGAAGACGAGATATGTGCCGCACAGAAACCCAACAAGAACAACGTACCAACCTGTCAAAAATCTCACCAAGCGATTGTCGGCGCCGGGCCCTGACATTCCAGAAATGTCCCTGTCGTAGCGAAGCAGAAGCCCAACTCCTGCTATGGTGACTCCACCGGAAACCATGTAAAGGAGGGAGTCGTCCACTGGTGCAGACGTCTGAAGCATGCGGAAGATCTGATGCGCGTAGACGCCAGAGGCCGTTGTGACCATGGCCAAAGTGCTCGGGTGAAGATCAGTCATGGCGTAGAAACCCGAGAGAATCGCGACGGAGACCACCGTGCTATCCATCACCAAATCTCTAACGGCAACGTAGTGTAGCACGAACGCCCACCTGATGTTGCGCAGGTTATAAAATGAGAAGCACGCGAGGATGGCTAACGCGCCCGCCGACCCCAGGAACAAACGCGAGGCAAATGCCCATGCCTGCGGCGCATCCTCTGCCGTCTCTTGTCGCCATCTCGAGAGGCGGACCAGCAGGAAGGCATCAAGCGCGACGGTCACGATCTGAGCTAGTGGTATTTGTCGTTCCCATCGGAGGGGACCCGGCGGGCAGATTGCGCCAGCGGACTGTGTTGACAGAGCGAGCGTGGACCTCGCGGCGCAGGCCCAGACGACGGCGATGAACAAGTAGCGAATGTGAGGTGCGCTGAAGCAGCGTCGGGAGCGGGTCTGGTCACCGAGTGGCTGTTGAAGGCTGATGGCAGTGGGTAATGCGACCAAATACAGAGTGATAAAGACCGGGAGAAAGGTCTGGGTGACGTAGTTGTTAGTGCTGTAGACTCAGTGCGCATTGAGAGTTGACGATCATCAGTTTCATACCTCGAAGCTTTCCAAGGAACAGTGGACTGTGCGAATCGTACGCCAGAAGAGAAGAGTGCGCAAGACGATGGCGGTTCCGAGTGGTATAGACGGCGACGAAAGGAGATGTCGATTCCGTACAAAATCTATGCTGGCCTGGATGCGTCGTTTCCAGTGGGGGCTTGGCGAAGAAAAGGTTGCCAGTTGGTAGCCTTCATCGTGGGAGCCTTGGTCTGGAGACGACCACTTTGCCCATGCTGCGATAGCAAGACCGGATTCGAGGAGGGTCAGGATTGAGAAATGGATCGGTCTCTCTGTTTAGAAGAAAGATAATGTTAACAGCAGTTGCAAAATACAGTGTTGCGCCGGGGATTGACTTACCAAAGGCGGCACTGTTATTATATCGTGATGTTATCCAGGCGGTGCAAACAAATAACACAATGCTGCAGCTCTGTCAGTACGTCGGATCATGTCGAACTTTGACTTGGCGCAGCAAGCTTGAACTGAGAGAAAAGAAAGTCTCAGATGAATTAAGACTGAGGTGCCCAAATAGCGACGACTGAGACCTAGGAATTGAAGGTGTCACTCACCTAGCCGCCAAGCTGCCGTGTCTCTTCAGCGGGGCCGCCATCGGCCACCAAAGGTCGCCTTACCCAGCGCCGGCTTGGCACGCGGAGTGACGTAGGAGGAGCGGGAAACAGCAAGAGCAAAGTCAACGTCGCAAAATTATCGCATCCTCAAGTAGACGACCATTGCCTCGTTTCTCACTGAGCAGAAGGTAAGAAAACAGAAGGTGAGGAAAGAAGAGAGAAGAGAAAAGGTCAGAGCAGATCCAAAGCCCCCGTGTCTGAGGAGAATGAGGAGAAGGGGAAATAAAGAAGGATGCGAGACGGCGCCATTACTAGCGCACGCCCGACGAACGGTCATCGTGTTGGCTGCCAGGCAGGCTACATGCTGGGCTGCCCGTCATCCATGGCTCTGGCTCGAGGGCATGGTGGTGGTGGTGCATCCATAATACGGCAAGACACAAGGGTAACGGGACCAACGACTTCGTTGGAACCTTTCTGTCTACCTCTGACTTCGTACAGAACCAATGGCATGGGCTGCAGACACGTAGTTGTGCCGCAATACCGATCCACATGAGAAAAAGGTATGGAGCTGCCCATTCCCTGTTTGCAGTCTCTTCTTCCCGAACGTAGTATTGACGTTAACCAAGGAACGCAGTCCAGTTCCCTTGCCATGTTCTGCTTCTCCTGTCTGTTCTGTTTACCGAGTACGGGACCGCCCCAGACTGCGAAAGCTGGGGGGTTTCGAGTACTGCTATTCCCGGATGGTGGCTGGCGTCATATGGCCATGCTTGCTCTTGCGGCGGTACACATGCATACTGGACCGGGGTCACTCCTGGTGGGCTTCCCCAGCATCACCTCGGCATTCGTGTCGTCGGTCTGGACAGGTCTTCCAAGGCAAAGAGATGACTGCGAGTGGGCAGACAATGCCCCGAGCGTGCTTCTCTGTACATACGTACAATTATTTGGAACTCCTGCGGTACAGGCTTATGTGTCCCCCGTACATCAAGAGGCGGTGTTTTCGTGTGGAGAAGAAAGAAAGGGACGCTGGCGCAATGCGACTCAGCGCCCATGGACAATGCTCTTCGCTTCGGATCCATCCCTCGACATTCCGATCTGCGGGCCGGTGGATCTAACTTGATTCGGATGACATAGGACATGGATACGGAGAGACAGACGAACAGAGACTGCGGAAGGCAGCAGGAGATGAAGAACGACAGTCAACGAATGTTGAGATGAACATCATCGTCTCGTAGTTCTCCAAGCACCGGGAGTTTTAGCTCAGGGGGGCAGGGGCTGTCTGGCTGCATCTGAAGGTGCGTTGTGCTCAGCTGGCTGCAGGGCCTTTTCTCAAAGTTTCAGCGTGGCGTGCGGAGAACCTAGCTGGCGCTGTGTTCCTCGTCGATCCGGCACCTTGGACCCTTTTCTTGGCGTCTGCCTAGGAGGACAGGGCGCTGGCCGGCATCACTTAATATCCAAGAAGCTTCTTTTGATCACCCATGACCATGCCGACAACCCGATAGGGCAGCTAATGGCGCTTTTTTGGCAGGCTTCTAGCCCGGCCATCGTGTGCGAAACCTCCGACTTGCGAGCAGCAACCGGCGGGAGGCCGGGGCCGGGGGCTGGAGAAGCTTTTCGGTGTTGCCTTCTGAGTTTTGACTTCAAATATGCCCTCCATATCTCTTAATTGATTTGTCGGATAGTCCCGGCTGCGCCCTGTCTTTCGTTTGCAGTTCTCAAGAGAACGGCGGCGCCGATTTCCACCTGTGAGAAATGCGAATTTCCTCAACTCATTGTTGCGACAGAATGAAACACCAGCAGGCTGGTCCCAGCCATCAGATGGACAGAGAAGGTGGCAATCAGGCTCTTTCATGACACTAGCATTGATTCATCAGCCTCCGAGGTTGATCCCTACGTCTATGGTATTGGCTTTTTTGTCTTCTCAGTCGTCAACATGCGAACATGACTCTTTTTTGGTCTTTTGCCCTCCCAACCCTGCCGAGAACTCCTGCGTGATGCCGTCACTGTGTCTCGATTAAGCCCGCTGCCTTTGTCTAGGGGCAGCGCGAATAATATCGTCTACACGGAGAAGAAGCTGTTCGAAGTTAGCTACTTGTACCGCCATCATAACGAACTTGGGATCAACATACCTCTGCTGCCTCGCTGGCAGAAGAAACAACAGCTCTCTTCAGTTTGTAGCTCTCGACGACACCCAGGTCGCGCATGTCGGCAATACCACCGCCGGGCGTCAGCAGATCGAGTCCGTAATTCGTCATGCCGTCGTAGATAGCCTTCCTCAAACGGGCGACAAGCTCGCCAGAGTCAAGACCGGCATTGTCGGCCAGGATGGTGGGAAGCTGGCGCAGAGCAATAGCGAAGCTGCTGACGGCCATCTGCTTCTTGCCCTCCACGCGGGTAGCGGCGCCCTCGACGGCCTTGGCCATGTTCATCTCAGCACATCCACCGCCCAGAGTAGTCCAGGGCTCCTTGACCGTCTGTGACAGGACGGCCAGCGCATCGTGCAGACTGCGCTCAGCCTCGTCGAGGAGCTGATCCGTAGCACCACGCAGCACAATCGTGCAAGCCTCGCCCGCAGCGACACCGGAGAACTTGATCAAAGTGTCCTCGCCAATAATGACCTCCTCGATCACGTCACACGATCCCAACTTGACCTGCTCGGGGTGGTCGAAAGTAGAAGCAATCTCACCGCCCGTGACCAAAGCCAGTCTCTCGATACCGTCGAAGTCGGCGTGCTCGATTGACATGATGCCCGCGTCCGTGAAGAGCTGCTCGGGCCAGTTGTAGATGAGTTGTCTGTTGATAAAGCAGTTGATACCGTGCGCCTTGATCTTCTCGACCTTGGCCTTCATCTTCTCCTTCTCCGCCTTCTCGAGGTCAGCCAGCTTGCTAGTGGATCCGACCTTGACACGAGCGCCAAAGATCTTGATCTTGTCCGTGTCCATCGATGTGTTGGCGACGAGAATCTTGGCCTTCTCCAAACGCTTGGGCTGGTTGACACCGATCTTCTTATCGAGGATAAAACCCTCATCGAGGTAGGAGTCGCTCAGCTTGCCACCGGCCTTCTTGATGATCTGGATATGGCTCAAGTCGGATGAGTTCTTGAGTCGAAGCACGGCGTCGGTGGCGAGCTTGGAGAAGTGGTCGCGGTCCTGGGCGAGGACCTTGGAGCTAAGGGTGGTACGGGCGATGGCCTGCATGTCTTTTCTGAAGGCCTCGGGGTTGTTGCTGCGATCGACGGCAAGCTCTTTCAGGGCCTTGAGAGCGGCCTGGCTGGCTATTCTGTAACCCTCAATGATGGTCTGAGGGTGGATCTTCTTGTCGACGAGCTTCTCAGCTTCACGGAGAAGCTCGGCGGCGAGGACAGCGACGGAGGTAGTGCCGTCACCAACTTCGTCATCCTGAACCTTGGAGATGTTGACGAGGACCTTCGCGGCCGCGTTGTCGAGGGCAATAGACTTGAGGATGGTGGCGCCATCGTTCGTGACCATGATCTCGCCGGTCGAGCTGGATGGTTGTTTGTCAGCCAAGGCGGTGGACCCTTGACGATGCTCGTGGCGGGGTTCACGGAGTTTCAACCTACGCAGACTGCAGAATCTTGTCCATACCCTTGGGGCCGAGGGTGCTCTTCACGAGATCGCCAACTGCGATAGCGCCCACGAACGCGGAGAGACGGGCATTCTCTCCCTTCTCCTCGGTGGTTCCGTCCTCGAAGATTTGTGTCGGGCTGAAGGACGACTGGAGGGGTCCAAGTCAGTACAGGAGGCTCAGACAAGACGTGGTAAATTTGCGAGGACCACAAACCATGGTGAATATATTATCCAGACACTCTGTTTCGGATCGAGACGGTGACTGATTTGGCGGGGGGAGGGAATCAAGGTGTCGTGGTTTGTACGGGTTCCTTCAGCCTTGGGAGCTTCACTGAGAAAATCGACCTCGAAAATTTGGGGGGGTTCAGCCTGGCGAAGTGGGGTGGTCTGGGCAGCAGCTTCCAGGCGCGCTGTGATTAGCGAAGCAGAGCTGCTGGACTGTTTCTACAGACGTCCATCCTCCACTGAAGCAGCTGGGTGTGGCCAGTGCACGGCAGGTACCTTACACCGCAGGGCATCAACGGGCGGGAGGGGCAGGTCGAGGGCGGTGAACAGTACTTGAGAGCTTCGCCGTGACAGCGATAGGGGACCGGCAGAACGGCACGTGACTGAAATCAGGTAGCGAGGGGCTCTAACCGGAGCCGGAAGAACCAGCTGTTCCAGCCCACACGAATGTCAGACCTTCCGCCGAAAACTTCACAGCAGAGGCCCAAATTGTGTGCGAGGTAGCTCTTGGCCCCCTGGTATCATTCTTTCCGAGGTGCATCAACGCTGTCAAAGTCACCAGCATCTGAGAATTCAGCCTGTTAGTGTATTTTTGCACCAAACTCCGGCCTTTGAAGCCTGTATCTTGAGCCAGCCGAAGCGGTCCGCAGCTCGGAAACCCTCACAAACCGAAAAAAATCGCGGGGCACTTTTTCGTCCAAAGAAAGGCCAGGACACCACCCCACATCTCACAACTGGGCACCTCTTTTTTTCCCACCACATCAAACAGCATCGCACCGCAAATCGCGCCCTTCACCGAGACACACCCCCTCTCCTTCCTTGCCACCAACGAAAATCTACTGCGAGCCCCGACCGTTGTCGCTGTGTCCAAAAGTCGCAATCATGGCGTTCGCCCAGCTGCAGGACGCGAACCTCGACGAGGAGGAGTACGACGAGGAGGAGATTGACATTTCCGACCTGCGCGAGAAGTACGAGGTTCAGCTGGAGCAAGGTTACGATGCTTTCGTCGTCGTCGACGGCCTCCCCGAGGTTACCGAGGAGCAGAAGCCCAAGCTTGTCAAGTTCTTGTTGAAAAAGTTGAACTCTGTTGGAAAGACGAGGGAGGACCTGATTTACATGCCCATGGGCGACAACGGCAAGTCGCTGAGGTACGTCTCGCCCGGTGGATCTGCTGCACCTACTACTGCGCTGCGGGGAGTCAGGTTGCGCAAACAAAGAGGCACGATGGGATG